TCCCGGGATTCCCGAGCGTTTCCCGGGATTCCCGAGCCTGTCCCGGGATTCCCGAGCCTCTCCCGGGATTCCCGAGCCTTTCCCAGGATTCCCGAGCCTCTCCCGGGATTCCCGAGCGTTTCCCGGGCTTCCCGCTCCGTACCGTGCTCCCGGGGGCCGTGCCGGGCCAGGCGGGTCAGGCTGCGGCAGAGCGGCGCCAGCGCCGGCGCCAGGAGCGGCCGCAGCAGCAGCGGCAGCAGGAACCGCCACAGCACCTGGAACGGGAAAACCGGGAATAACCGGGAATAACCGGGAATAACCACCCGGGAATAACAGGGAATAACCACCCAGGAATAACCGGGAAATATAACCGGGAATAACTGCGAAATAACCCGGGAATAACAGGGAATAACCCAGAATAATGGGGGAACCACCACAGCACCTGGGAACGGGAAAAATGGGAATGACCGGGAATAACAACCTGGGAATAACTGGGAATAACAACCCGGGAATAACCCGGAATAACGGGGGAACCGCCACAGCACCTGGGAACGGGAAAAATGGGAATGACAACCCGGGAATAACCGGGAATAACCGGGAATAACAACCCGGGAACCGCCACAGCACCTGGGAACGGGAACACCGGGAATAACCGGGAATAACAACCTGGGAATAACTGGGAATAACCTGGGAATAACCCGGGAATAATGGGAGAAATAACCGGGAATAACCGGGAATAACCACCCGGGAATAACCGGGAATAATGGGAGAAATAACCGGGAATAACCGGGAATAACCACCCGGGAATAACTGGGAATAACCCGGGAATAACGGGGGAACCGCCACAGCACCTGGGAACGGGAACACCGGGAATAACTGGGAAATATAATCGGGAATAACCGGGAATAACCGGGAAATAACCCGGAAATAATGGGGGAATATAACCGGGAATAACAGGGGGAACCGCCACAGCACCTGGGAACGGGAACACCGGGAATGACCACCCGGGAATAACCCGGAAATAACCGGGAATAACCGGGAATAACAACCCGGGAATAATGGGGGAATAATGGGGGAACCGCCACAGCACCTGGGCGGGGAAATGGAAATATAACCCGGGAAAAACGAGGAAATACCCCGGGAATAAACGGAAAATAACCGGGAGATAGATAACCCGGGAATAATGGGGAATAATGGGGAATAACCCGGGAATAATGGGGAATAACCCGGGAATAATGGGGAATAATGGGGAATAATGGGGAAATAACCCGGGAATAATGGGGAATAATGGGGGAACGGCCTCAGCACCTGGGCAGGGAAAATAAAAATATAACCGGGGAATAAATGGGAAATCACCGGGAAATAACCAGGAAATAATGGGGAAATAAAGGGGGGAAAATGGGGGAAAAATAGGGGAGAAAAAGGGGGAAATATGGCAGAAAAAAGGGGGGAATATGATGGAAAAAAGGGGGGAATATGGGGGAAAAAAGGGGAAAAATGGGGAAATAAAGGGGAAAATAATGGGGAAAAAATAGGGGAAAATGGGGAAAATAATGGGGAAAATAATGGGGAAAAAATAGGGGAAAATGGGGAAAATAATGGGGAAATAATGGGGAAAATAACTGGGAAATAGCCACGAAATAACTGGGAAATAATCAGGAAATAACTGGGAAATCACCAGGAAATAATGGGGGAAAAATAGGGGAGAATTTTGGGATTGGGAATTTTGGGATAAAATCCCTCAGGATTGGGAATTCTGGGATTTTTCCTGTCGGGAATTCCCGGAATTTGTATTTTTTGGGAATTTTGGGACTCTCACGTGGCCGAGGCGGGGCACGGTGCTGCTGAGCAGGAGCAGGAAACCCTCGGGACTGGGAATTTTGGGATAATATCCCTCAGGATTGGGAATTCTGGGATTTTTCCTGTCGGGAATTCCCGGAATTTGTATTTTTTGGGAATTTTGGGACTCTCACGTGGCCGAGGCGGGGCACGGTGCTGCTGAGCAGGAGCAGGGTGCTGACGCCGGCGCTCCGGACGTCGGCGCTCGTCGGATCCTCGGGATTTTCCTCCGGAATTCCGGGGGGCTGGGGGAAAACAGGGAGGAATTCCCAAAAAAAATGTGAGGGTTTGGGGAAAAAGGGGAAAAAACGGGGGAAAAAGGGAAAAACGGGGAGAAAAAGAGGGATGAAAAGGAGAAAAAGGAGGAAAGGAGAGAGGGATGTGGAAAAATGGGAAAAATGGGGGGGAATATGGGGGGAAATGAGAGGAAAATGGGAAAAAGGATGGAAAATTTGGGAAAAGTTGGGGAAAAAAGATGGGAAAAATTGGGAAAGGATTTGGAAAAATTGGGTAAGTTTGGGAAAAGGGTGGGAAAAGTTGGGGGAAATGGGGAAAATGGAGAAAAGGATGGGAAAAGTTGGGAGAAGATGGGAGAAAATGGGGAAAATGGGGAAAAGGTTGGGAAAACTTGGGAAACGTTTGGGAAAAGTCAGGAAACAGTTGGGAAAAGTTGGGAAAAGCATGGGAAAAGGTTGGGAAAAGTTGGGAAAAGGTTGGGAAAAAAGTGGGAAAAGTTAGGAAAAGAATGAGAAAAGTTTGGGAAAAATTGGGAAGAGGTTGGGAAATGGTTGGGAAAACTTGGAAAAATATTGGGAAAAAATGGTGAAAAAATGGGGAAAAGGTTGGGAAAACTTGGGAAAAGGATGGGAAAAGTTGGGAAAAGTAAAGGAAAAAAGTGGGAAAAGTTGGGAAAAGAATGAGAAAAGGTTGGGAAATGGTTGGGAAAACTTGGGAAAATATTGGGAAAATATTGGGAAAAAATGGGGAAAAGGTTGAGAAAACCTGGGAAAGGGATGGCAAAAGTTGGGAACAGGATGGGAAAAAAATGGGAAAAGTTGGGAAAAGAATGAGAAAAGTTTGGGAAAAGGTTGGGAAAAGGTTGGGAAAATTTGAGAAAAGGGTGGGAGAAGTCGGGAAAAGATTTGGGAAGTGGTTGTCAAAACTTGGGAAAATAATTGGGAAAAAATGGGGAAAATGGAGAAAAAGGAGGGGAAAAGTATGGGAAAAGTTGGGAAAAGGGTGGGAAAAGTTGGGAAAAGGGTGGGAAAAGTTGGGAAAAGTCGGGAAGAGCTGGGAAATGTGGGAATTGTCACCCCGTCGGCGGGCAGGGCGCACTGCTGCACCAGGAATTCCAGCAGCGCCTCCGCCCCCGGCTGCTCCAGGAAACCGTGGTGGGCCAGGGCCGAGATCAGCTGCACCAGAGCCAGCTTCACCTGGGAAAACGGGAAAATCGGGAATTCTGGCGGAGAAACGGGGAAAAAATGGGGAGAAATGGGGAAATAATGGGGAAAAATGGTGAAAAAATGGGGAAAAACGGGGAAAAAATGGGGGAAAACGGGGGAAAAATGGGGAAAAAATGGGACATTGGGAGTCAGGAGCAGAGATCAGCTGCACCAGAGCCAGCTTCACCTGGGAAAACGGGAAAATCGGGAAAATCGGGAATTCTGGGGGAGAAACGGGGAAAAAATGGGGGAAAACGGGGGAAAAATGGGGAAAAACAGTGAAAAAACGGGGAAAATGTGGGGAAAATGGGAATTGGGAGTCAGGAGCAGAGATCAGCTGCACCAGAGCCAGCTTCACCTGGGAAAACGGGAAAATCGGGAAAATCGGGAATTCTGGCGGAGAAACGGGGAAAAAATGGGGAGAAACGGGGAAAAAATGGGGAAAATGTGGGGAAAATGGGAATTGGGAGTCAGGAGCAGGGAGCAGCTGCACCAGGGCCTACTCCATCTGGGGAAAAAAACGGGAAAAATGGGAAAATCAGGAATTCTGGGGGAGAAACTGTGGGAAAATGGGGAGAAACGGGGAAAAATGGAAGAAAATGGTGAAAAAATGGGGAAAAACTGTGGAAAAATGGTGAAAATGTGGGGAAAATGGGGGCAAAAAAAAGGAGAAAATTGGGAAAAAGAGAGGGAGAAACAGGAAAAAATTGGAAAAATGGGAGGAAATGGGAAATAGGGAAATGGGGAAAAAAAGTGTGGAGAAATGGTGAAAAAATGGGGAAAATGTGCAGGAAAATGGGGAAAAACTGGTAAAAATGGGGAAAAGAGAGGGAGAAAGGAAAAAAATTGGAATTGTGGGGAAAATGGGGAAAATTGGGGGGAAAATGGGGAAAAATGGGGGGAAAATGGGGGGAAATGGGGAAAAAATGGGGAAAACCAGAAAAAAAGGGGGAATAAATGGGGGAAAATGGAGAAAAAAATGTGGGAAAAACCGGGAAAATAGGGAAAAAAAAGGAAAACCTGAAATTCCTGGAAAAACTGGGAATTTTAGGGGAAAAATAGGGAGAAAATGGGGAGAAAAAAGGGATTACAGCCCCCGTGGCGCCCCCTAGGGGTGGGGAAGGGCAGCGGGGTTTGGGATTTTTGGGAATTCTGGAATTTTTTGGGAATTTCGGGATTTTCTGGGAATTTTGGGAATTTTCTGGGAATTTTGGGAATACCTTGTTGCTCTCGTCCTGCAGAGGGACTTTCAGGGCAGAGAGGATGGAAACTTTCTGCATTTCCATCTGGGAAGCTGCAAAAAAACGGGAATTTGGGATGGGAAAAATCCCCCCAAAAATAAACAAAGAATTCCACAAAAAATCCCAAAATATCCCCCAAAAATCCCCAAATAATCCCAGAAAATCCCCATGAAATTCCCAATAAAATTCCCATAAAATCCCCATGAAATTCCCAATAAAATTCCCATAAAATCCCCATGAAATCCCCAAATAATCCCAGAAAATCCCCATGAAATTCCCAATAAATCCCAAAAAATCCCATAAAATCCCCATGAAATTCCCAATAAATCCCAGAAAATCTCCCAATAAATCCCATTAAAAAAATCCCAATAAATCCCCAGTAAACCCCATTAAAAATCCCAGAAAATCCCCCATTAAAACCCCAATAAATCCCCAAAAAAACCCCATAAAACCCCATTAAACCCGCACTGAAACCCCAATAAATCCCCATGAAACCCCCAATAAATCCCCAATGAACCCCATTAAAAAATCCCATAAAATCCCCAATAAATCCCATTAAAAAATCCCATATAATCCCATAAAATCTCCCAATAAATCCCACAAAACCCCCAATAAATCCACAATCAATCCTCTAAAAAAAACCCCAAAAAAACCCCACTAAATCCACAATAAACCCCATTAAAACTCCAATAAATCCCCAAAGAACCCCATTAAAAAAAATCCCATAAAATCTCTAAATAAATCCCCAATAAACCCCATTAAAACTGTCATTAAATCTCCAATAAATCCCCAATAAACCCCATTAAAAACCTCATTAAATCTCCAATAAATCCCCCAAAAATCCCATAAAAATTCCCCCAATAACCCCCAATAATCCCAAAAAAATCCCCAATAAATCCCATAAAAAACCCCAATAAATCCCCAATAAATCCCATACAAATTCCCCAATAAATCCCCAATAAATCCCCAATACATCTCCTAAAAAACAAAAAAACCCCAATATATTCCAAATAAATCCCATAAAAAACCCAATAAATCTCCAATAAATCCCAAAAAAAATCTCATAAAAAAGCCCAAATAACTCCCAATAGATCCCAAATAAATCCCATCAAAAACCCCAATAACCCCCAATAAATCCCCTAAAAAAGACCCCAAAACCCCCATTAAACCCCCAATTAACCCCATTAACCCCATTAAACCCCAATTAACCCCATTAAACCCCATTGACCCCATTAAACCGCATTAAAAACCCCATTAAACCCCATTAAACCCCATTAAACCCCCAATTAACCCCATTAACCCCATTAAACCCCATTAAAACCCCAATTAAACCCATTAAACCCCATTAAAAACCCCATTAAAAACCTCATTAAACCCCATTAAAACCCCAATTAACCCCATTAAACCCCATTGACCCCATTAAACCCCCAATTAACCCCATTAAACCCCATTAAACCCCCAATTAACCCCATTAACCCCATTAAACCCCATTAAACCCCAATTAACCCCATTAAACCCCATTAACCCCATTAAAACCCCCATTAAAGACCCCAATTAACCCCATCAAAGCCCAATTAACCCCATTAAACCCCATTAAACCCCATTAAAGACCCCAATTAACCCCATCAAAGCCCAATTAGCCCCATTAAAGCCCAATTAGCCCCATCAAAGCCCAATTAACCCCATCAAAGCCCAATTAGCCCCATCAAAGCCCAATTAACCCCATCAAAGCCCAATTAGCCCCATCAAAGCCCAATTAGCCCCATTAAAGTCCCAATTAACCCCATTAAAGACCCCAATTAGCCCCATCAAAGCCCAATTAACCCCATCAAAGCCCAATTAACCCAATTAAAGCCCCAATTAACCCCATCAAAGCCCAATTAACCCCATTAAACCCCATTAACCCCATTAAAAGCCCCATTAAAGACCCCAATTAACCGCATCAAACCCCAATTAACCCCATTAAACCCCATTAACCCCATTAAAACCCCCATTAAAGACCCCAATTAGCCCCATCAAAGCCCAATTAACCCCATCAAACCCCAATTAACCCCAATTAATTAACCCCCTCGGCCCCGTTGGCTCACGGGCGCTGTTGAGCAGGTGGCGCAGCAGGCGCAGCGCCCCCTGGCGGAGCCGCTCGGAGCCGCCGTGCAGGCGCGGCAGCAGCCAGGCCAGGAGCCGCGCGGGGAACGGCACCGCTGGGGCGAAAATGGGCAAAAAACGGGAATTTCGGGAAAATCGCGAGCTTCAGGAGACATTCGGGGCATTTCGGGCAAAAGCAGCGAGTCTGGGGCAAAATCTGCGAAATTCTGGGGCAAATGTACACGATTTGGGGGAAAAAAGAGGGATTTTTCAGGGGAAATACGTGAAGTTTTGAGGGAAAAGAATGGAATTTTAGGGCAAAAGAATCAGGGAATTTTGGGGAGGAATCAGGGAATTCGGGGCATTTGGGGGAAAAGCAGAGGATTTTGGGGGAAATGTGCGAAATTTTGGGGAAAATATACAGGATTTGGGGGAAAAAAGAGGGATTTTTCGGGGGAAATACGTGAAGTTTTGAGGGAAAAGAATGGAATTTTAGGGCAAAAGAATCAGGGAATTTTGGGGAGGAATCAGGGAGTTTGGGGAAATCTGGGAATTTGGGGTGAAAATCCGGGAATTTTGGGACTCAGTTGCGGGGTTTTGGGGAGAATTTGTGGAATTTTGGGAGCAGGAGCTGCACGAGGAACGGCACCGCTGGAACCCGAAAATGGGGAAAAAACGGGAATTTCGGGCAAAGTTGGGAGCTTCAGGGGAATTCGGGGCATTTGGGGGAAAAGCAGAGGATTTTGGGGGAAATTGCAAAATTTTGGGGGAAATATACAGGATTTGGGGGAAAAAAGAGGGATTTTTCAGGGGAAATATGTGAATTTTTGAGGGAAAAGAATGGAATTTTAGGGCAAAAAAATCAAGGAATTTTGGGGAGGAATCAGGGAGTTTGGGGAAATCTGGGAATTTGGGGTGAAAATCCGGGAATTTTGGGACTCAATTACGGGGTTTTGGGGAGAATTTGTGGAATTTTGGGGAGGAATAATCAGGGAATTTTGGGAGCAGAAGCTGCGCTGGGAACAGAGCCGCTGTAACAGGAAATGGGGAAAAAACGGGAATTTCGGGAAAATTCGGGAGGTTTAGGAGAAATTCGGGGCATTTTGGGGAAAAGCAGGAAGTTTTGGGGAAATAATACAGCATCTGGGGAAAAAAACAGGGCATTTGGGGGGAAAAACCAGGGAATTTTTTGGGGGGAAATGTGAATTTTTAAGGGGAAAATAATGGAAATTTTTCCATTGTTTTGGGAAAAATCAGGATTTTTTTTGGTGAAAATACGGGAATTTTGGGGAGAAATGATGGGACTTAGGGTGAAAATCAGGGAATTTTTGGGAGAAATTGGGGAATTTTGGGTGTTGGAGCTGCGCTGGGAACGGAGCAGCTGGAATGGAAAATCGGGAAAAAATTGGGAATGTCAGGAAAAAAATTGGGTATTTCGGGGAAAAACAGGAGGTTTAGGGGGAATTTGGGGGATTTTGGGGAAAAGCAGAGGGGGGGAAAATCGGTGAAATTTTGGGGAAAATATACAGGATTTTGGGGAAAATCTGGGCATTTTTGGGGGGAAATATGTGAAATTTTACGGGGAAATAATGGAATTTTTGGGGAAAATCAGGGGATTTTTGGGGAAAATCAGGGGATTTTTGGGGAATGTCGGAATTTTGGGGATTTGGGGAACGTCGGGAATGTCGGGAATGTCGGGAATGTCAGGAATTTCGGGATGCTCACCCAGGACGGAGAAGCAGCGCAGCAGCTCCGCCTGGTTCCGGCTGCTCGAGGGGACCTTGGGATCGGCCGGAGCCACCAGCTGGGAAAAAGATGGAAAAATCCGGGAAAATCCCGGGAAAATCCCGGAAAAATCCTGGGAAAATCACGGGAATATCCTGGGAAACTACCGGGAAAATCCCGGGAAAATCCTGGGAAAATTCCGGAAAAATCATGGAAAAATCCTGGGAAATTACCGGGAAAAATCCTGGGAAAATCCTGGAAAAATCATGGGAATATCCTGGTAAACTACTGGGGAAATCACCAAAAAATCCTGGAAAAATTCCAGAAAAATCCCAGGAAAATCCCAGAAAAATCCCAGAAAAAAAGTCATGAAAACATCCTGGAAAAATCTGGAAAAATTCTGGGAAAGACCTTGGAAAAATCCAGGAAAAATCTGGGAATTTTCTGGGAAAATCCCAGAAAAATTGCAGAAGAATTCTGGAAAATTTCAAGAAGAGTCCCAAAACAATCTGGGGAAACTGCTGAAAATTTTCAGGAAAAATTCAGGAGACAATCCAGGACAATTCCAGGGAAAAACGTAGGAAGTATCCTGGAAAAATCCTGGAAAAATCCCAGAAAAATGTTGAAGATTTCCTGGAAAATTCATTTTAAAATCCAGGAAAAATCTGGGAAAAAATCCGGGAAAAATCCAGGAAAAGTCTGGGAATTTCCGGGAAAAATCCCAGAAAAATCCCAGAAATTTTCAAGAAAAATCTCAGAAAAATCTGGGGAAAATCCTGAAAATAATCAGGAAATATCCAGGAAAAAAATCTGGGAATTTCCTGGAAACAATCCAGGAAAAAATCCGGGAATTTCCTGGAAAAATCCCAGAAAAATCCTTTAAAAATCCTGAAAAAATTCGGGAAAAATCCAGGAAAAACCTGGGAATTTCCTGGAATAATCTGGGAATATCCTGGAAACAATCCAGGAAAAAATCTGGGAATTTCCTGGAAAAAATCCCCGAAAAATTCCGGAAAAATCCCAGAAAAATCCTGGAAATTTTCAAGCGAAATCCCAGAGAAATCCTTTAGAAATCCTGAAGGAGTCGAGGGGAACTCCGGGATAAGTGCGGAAGGATTCCGGGCGCATTCCCGGGGTTTGGGGCTCGGGAATTCCGGGAGTCGGGAATTCTGGGCGGGAATTGCGGAGTCGGGAATTGCGGAGTCGGGAATTCCGGGGGTCGGGAATTGTGGGAGTGGGAATTCCGGGAGTCGGGAATTGCGGGGTCGGGAATTCCGGGAGTCGGGAATTCCGGGGTTGGGAATTCCGGGAGTCGGGAATTCCGGGGTTGGGAATTCTGGGCATTGGGAATTGCGGGAGTTGGAATTGCGGGGTTGGGAATTCCGGGGTCGGGNGGGGTTGGGAATTCTGGGCATTGGGAATTGCGGGAGTTGGAATTGCGGGGTTGGGAATTCCGGGGTCGGGAATTCTGGGAGTCGGGAATTGCGGGGTCGGGAATTCCGGGGTCGGGAATTGCGGGGTCGGGAATTGCGGGGTCGGGAATTGCGGGGTCGGGAATTCCGGGTGGGAATTGCGGGGTCGGGAATTGTGGGAGTGGGAATTCCGGGAGTCGGGAATTGCGGGGTCGGGAATTCCGGGAGTCGGGAATTGCGGGGTCGGGAATTCCGGGGTCGGGAATTGCGGGGTCAGGAATTCCGGGAGTCGGGAATTGCGGGGTCGGGAATTCCGGGAGTCGGGAATTGCGGGGTCGGGAATTCCGGGAGTCGGGAATTGCGGGGTCGGGAATTCCGGGGTCGGGAATTGCGGGGTTGGGAATTCCGGGTGGGAATTGCGGGGTTGGGAATTCTGACCTGGGCCAGCAGCGCCGCCAAGAGCGGCTCCAGCTGCGCCTCGAGCGCGCGGCCGCCCCGCGCCGCCGCCAGCAGCTGGCACAGGCTCTGCAACCGGGAAA